ATTTACAGCTAATTGAGGAGGATTTCGTCAAATCTAAAAAGAGATTAGTAACGAGTGATGAAACATGGGTCTCGACTATGATCCCGAGTCAAAACGTCAATCCATGGAATGGCATCATTCCACTTCTCCGGCACCAAAGTTAATTCAAGTCTTCAAGATCAGTGAAGAAAGTTATCTTTGTTCATTTCTTAATAAGACGATTACCGGTGCCTACTATGCTGATTTGCTATATCGAGAGATTCTATCAAAGAAAAGCGGCGAGGAATACTGACTGCTGGTGTTCTACTACTTCATGACAATGCCTCTTCTCACACCTCTCGACTTGCCAAGACTGCTGTGCGACAATGTGGGTTCGAAAAGCTTCCTCACCCTCCATACTCGCCAGACCTGGCACCGAATGATTTCTACCTGTTTCCTAACTGAAAGAACACCTTCGTGGAAGGCGCTCTGACGACAACGATGACCTCAAAGTTGTCGTGGGTGGGTTTTTCAGGGTGGCTTCAGAAAACGTCTTCCTGACTGGAATTGGAAAGCTTCACTATCGATATGAGAAGTGTATTGAAAAGCAGGGAGATCATGTAGAAACATAAAATTAAAGACACTTTCACAATTGTTGGGTTTGTTTGTTAGGCTTAAAACGTTTTGACCAGCCCTCGTACACCTCGTCTGCCAATGAAGCTTTAGTGAGGCCGTGAATGCTGTAACCTTGATCAAACAACTTCATTATCAAGGCTGTACACAGCTGGTAAAGATTACAACCAGTGACATTATGTCATAATATTCAAGAGTCGGATGACGCTCTTTGAAATCTTGGTAGAGAGAGTATGCTCGATTGTATCTCAAACGTTGTGAAGGTTGAAGATGCTGGAATATTGCTCGACATGGGGAAAAGTTGACTATGCGCAAGTTGAAGTCATCCCTCTTGTCATACAGTCTTGTGGAGAGTGTTTTGTCACTCTGAGTCTTTATGCATAGATCTAAATATGAAACAGATGTCTAGTTCACGTGGGTAAATCAGTTGAAGGGTATTGGCTATTTGATGGTTATTGAACGATATCATATTATCGATATACCTGAAGCTGAAGTGAAACTTCTTGGCCAAATTACCTTGTCTTGACTTTGGTAATCGGAGCAGAAATTCCGGCTCATAGGCAATGGGAAACAGACCAGCATTTCACATATTGTTTTCTCAGTAAACTTCAGATGGCAATTGCTTTCATTCTTGACAAATTGTACTGAACCTCTGAAGAAAACAATAATGAGCAAAGGGATTTTATCGAAAAAAATTCATAGCCCCCGAAAAATCTTTAAAAATATAATTTTGCTTCATTTTATTGGAAAAGAGAGATTATCTGCCACAAAAATTACATATATTGGCTCATAGTTTTAATTAAAAATATATATCTGCTTTTGCAGCTGCAGCCGAAAATATCATGTCCCAATACAAAATCCCAGTTGGGCGGTTGGGTTGTAGTTACATAATTGAATGTTGCTATCTCATAGAACAACACGGAGCTGTGGTATTGGCGATAGGGTCGTACTTACGTAAATACATGTTGCTGATGCTTGGTAACTATAGACGCCATGTCAGCTGTGTCATCAGTTTTTGTAGTATGCTCAATACCTCATTAAACAGCATTGTCATCGGCTTCGTAAACAGTTGTCGAATCCTTGTTGACAGACATCGTTGCATTTATCCAGTGAATACATTTTCTTAACCCATAGAGCTTATAGTGGTAGTTATATCACCCTTCAGGGACCATTACACTCAATATTTAATTTATAGCATATTGATTAAATTCATACCGCGCTGAAAGCATAATGAAAAAGGACATGGCCAGAGCGGATTTTATTCCAATATTTCACATATGTCGCCGTCGCTGCCTACGTTGGTCTCTACAGTCAAGGATGCCACCTGACAACTGTTAAGTCATTGCTTTGAAGCATGTCTAATGGGGAGAACACACAACTTGAGCTGATCAATAAATCAATATATGACAACAGATCAGTTGTTTTCAGAAATAACACTAATCATTACCAGGTTAAAGTTTGAATGACATGCTGTATAAACCTGCGTCGTCTATCTCGAAGCCGTTTACAACATGGTTGGTTGGTTGGTTTGTTGTTTTACGCCGCACTCAGCAATATTCCAGCTATATGACGGCGGTCTGTAAATAATCGAGAATGGACCAGACAATCCAGTGATTGACATCATGAGCATCGATCCGCGCAATTGGGATCAATGACATGCATCAACCACGTCAGCGAGCCTGACCACCCGATCCCGTTAGTCGCCTTTTACGACAAGCATAGTCACCTTTTACGGCAAGCATGGGTTGCTTAAGACCTATTCTACCCCGGAATCTTCACGGGCCGTTTACAACATTGATGCTATGTGACAGCATGCTGCAGGAGATGCCATGTTACACGACGCGTCATCAACCTGTAGATCAGTGGATTAACGTGGCAGTAGATACAATATAATAAGGTAATAGTAAAACAAGTTCCTTTTCTTGTTTTAAACAATTCTACTGATGAAATAAATGTACCAACAAATCTTGAAATTTTGAAATGTTGACTGTTTGAAAGATAAACAGTTTGCATTGATAAGAATGGTAAATTTCCAAATTCGACGCATCAGTAACCAAAATTATGTCCGATGTAAATTCCCTGTTTTGACTTGTACCATATGTTCTGTGTTTGTTCAGGTAAGCAATTGATTTGGTTGTGTTTGTGATGGGTGCCACCAATTTACGCAGGATACGTTTATCTTTCCTAGAACGCCTGGTATCATCGCTATGTGTGTGTGTGTGTGTGTGTGTGTGTGTGTGTGTGTGTGTGTGTGTGTGTGTGTGTGTGTGTGTGTGTGTGTGTGTGTGTGTGTGTGTGTGTGTTTATATGTTTATGTATGGGTGTGTGTTTATTTGTTTATTATTATCATATACATATTAACATATAAATGCAGCAAAAAAGGTTTGGTTGATCCTGGCATAGTCAGCTTGGTTAAGCTCAGGGCCCTTGACCCCTCTACACGCGGCCCAGACAGCGAATGGGACTTCTCCTAGGAAGCTCTGCCTACTCGAGAGAACTCGTACCCAGAACTTCTGGCATTTTATTATCGTCTTCGACATACTTGTGGTTTTAACACAGAGGTCCATCCATGGTACGACCAGGAATATGTAGAGGGCGTCATGGAAAATGATAAATACAAAACTTGGAATAAGTCCGTATACAGCCTCAGACGTGTTAAGGCCAGATCTTGTCCTTTTTCATAAATCCAATGAAATCATTTATATTATTGAATTTTCTGTCCCTTTTGACACTAATGTGATTGACAAGATTCAGGTAAAACATGGCAAATATGCAGACCTCGCTTTCGAAATGTCACGCTTGCATCCAAAGTACCAAGTTGTCTGACTCCCCATTGTTCTCAGTGCCTTAGGTTTAATACCTCCCAATCTGTTGACTGGCTGTGGGAGAGTACCCGGGTTTGCTACCAGGAGTACAACCCTTCTGACAATCTGGGTGATGCAGAAGGCTGCAGTGTTGGGGAGTCTTCACATTCTCCCAAAAGTTCTGGGTGGGTTCGACAAGGCAGCGCTTCATGGGAGAAGTCCCATTTGCTGTCTGGGCTGCGTGTAGAGGGGGCAAGGGCCCTGAGCCGAGCCTAACCAGTCTGACTTTGTCAGGATACCCAAATCCTCTTTGCTGCATTTTAAAAATTTTAATCTGTAAATTTCTTTGTTGAAAAAATGAAATAAAATAAATAAATAAATAAATGAATAAATGAATAAATGAATAAATGAATAAATGAATAAATAAATAAATAAATAAATAATATGACAGTCCTGCACTGCATACATGAGCTTGATTTGACGACATCAGTACATAATGTATTCCTGTCCTCAACAGGGTTACCACAACAACATTCTGTTTTTACGCTGTTCTGTGTTGCATTGGGTGTCAACAAACAAACACTATTTTTGTTCTGCATATTGCTTTCATTTTGAGCAGCACGATTAAACAACATTGATCAGAATGCATGATTTTGTCCATTTAAGTTCAACTCTACAGCACGTTCTTAGTGCGTCTCTCTCGAGAAGGCGGGTGTCGTTGTTAAATCACCCACAATCCGAGGAGAAGACAGAGCGAATAGCAAGAGATCAATATCGTTCATTATGTAATTCCATCAGGGGAATTGCAAGGAAAGTAAAATCGATACTTACGCTTGTCGCACGGTCACACAGCAAACCGTTAATGTCATCAGCAAAATACTCTGTTGTACTGTCAAAATTCAAAAAAATTGACACAACATCCGATATGCACATATATTATATCTGAATAGAAGTGGATATAGATAGATAGATAGATAGATAGATAGATAGATAGATAGATAGATAGATAGATAGATAGATAGTGTTTATGGTTCGATGTGTGATATGTGCCTTGAAACGGAGACATAATTATTATTCATGGACATGCATCCGCTTATGAGCCGAGAAACATTCTTTTTTTGCTTATATTGTTTGTTGCATATCCACTGTCATGGACATAAAGCACCGGGCAAAGGAACATATACACCCATGTTTGATGGTTGCTAAGGAGGAAAAAACAAAGAGTAGTTATTCGATGGTAATGCAGTTGCAGTTGATTGGGGTATCATAGTTGCGATTTGAACCTTAATTTTTTATGTTTGGGCGACTGTTTTCGCCCTAGTAAGGCTTGATAACGTTTGTAATGTTTTAGTCAAATCCAATTTTGAGGTGTATATTTTCTTTTGTCCGTCAGTTTATCTTCTGTAATTGCTCAGAAAGAAACATATACTGTTCATTGACATATATAAACATTAAAAACACTAAATATATGTTGTATCTCTCAAAATAAAACTTACTAGATGGTTCCTGAGACATGCCGGGTGCCCGAAGAAAATATATAATTGTTCGAATGTGTATGTTTTGTTCATAATAAAAGTCATTATTTTAAAGTGATCTTTGTTCCAGGTGGCACTATGGCTAATCCTGTTATATCAACACGTGAGATCAAAGAGAATATTCTGAAGTGTGACAGATGCGAGCAGCAGTTTGACAGCGAGGACAAGATACCACGTGTGTTGCCATGCCAACACAGCTTCTGTTCTCAGTGCTTGGATGACGTGTGGACGATGGGATCTAAACTCAGTTGCCCGTCTTGCGACCAACTGTGGGATGTCCGGGAGTCGGTGGAGGAAACCTTCCCCGTGGAATACGTTGCCATGAAGTTCGTCGTATTTGTGGAACTGAAGGGAAGGAAAGGGAGGCGACTCTGTACCGACTGTTCCGAGAAGTCGCCAGCAACCCACCACTGCCTTAACTGTCAGCTGTACATTTGTGAAGAGGGATTGAGGGCCCACAAACGCTTCTACAAACAGAAAGCCCACAAGATTCTCTCTATTGCAGAAATACTGAAGCTGCCCGAGAACTATCTGACACAAACCGAGACATGCACCCTACATCCTGGGTCGACGCTGGATCTGTTCTGTGAGAAGCCAGGCTGCATGAAAGCCGTGTGCCCATCATGCGCCATTGTTGAGCACAAAGAGCGGGATGGGCACGAGATTAGGGATGTCCAGGATGTCGTGAAGGATGAGAAGAGGGCGGTGTCGGAGGCACTGGAGGAACTGAAAGAGAGGCAGGAGAGAACAGAGTCGGAGAAGTCAGAGCTGGAAAGGGACTTGTTTCATCTGAATATTGAGAGCAAGAAGTTGGAGGCACAAATTGAACGTTATTTCGACAGCTTCATTGAACAGGCCGAGGAACAGAAGGAAGTGCTGAAGAACAGTCTTCACATTGCTATAGCAGATGAAAGAGATCATATGAGTGCGTGTCTCACTGCCTTCAAAACAACAGCTCAAACAGAGACAGACTACGCCGACTACTGCAGGAAAGTGATGGAAGAGGCAAAACCAGGCAACTTCCTCCAGGAAAACGAAAACATAAAACAGAAACTAAATGCTCTGATCACTGCTCCGCTTCCAGCTAAGCCGGACAGAAAGGAGATTTTTGTTGACCTGACATCACTGAGCGACATAACAAAAAAGATGGCCAAAGTAGGCGAGATAATCTACTTGGATAACACGATGCTGCAGTGGAAGGTTATCATTGAGATTACAGACTCCCTACAGGACGAAGAGGACATGGTGATTGTGAGAGTCTTTCTCAAATATATGGGCAACGTCATCGTCGTGCCTAAGCCTGCTAGCATCAAGGCTGTGATAGAAGACTCCTCAGGATTGACCATCAGCCGGGTACTGGAACATCTTGGTGATATGGGTGAAGCTGCATCCACACGCAGTGACGAAGTGGACTCTCCGGATGCAAGGCGTCATCATTCTACAAAGAACAACAGACGACACGTCCACAGTAACGGCGATAGTGGCTACCACAACGGTGACATGTCAGGGGATGGCAGGGGCACACTGGATCCGGATAGATATGAAGAAAATATCACTCCTACTGAACAGGATGTTGGGAATATAAGGTACACGCCAATCTCTAGGAACAGGACCAGCCTGAAACAAACTGGGTCACAGAAATCTATCGGAGTTGCGTCGTCGGTCGACCTGCAAGATCTGGGAAAGGGCAAACAGCGAAGCAGGGCAAGCTACAGACAGATGGAGAGTGTAGACTCGAAGGTCTCCTTTAACGACGATGTGATGGCAAACGGCGCCCACACAAGCCCCCGTGGAGCAGACGATAGGAACGGTTTCCACCCGCCTGGGTCGCTACATGAAGGCGGATCGAGGTCCGGAGCTACCAATAGGACAGGAAATGTCAAGGTAAAGGACGTTTAGTCCCTTCTCGTGTACTCGTGGGTTCCAGAAACTCGCGGATAGACTCATGCTCGCGAACCGCACCCCTCTTTGGCCGTTAACAAGGGCGGTCGAGTACCAGGACATAAAGGAAGATATCAAGTTTGTGAGAATGAAACAATCCAGTGATTATGAAGCCTTTCATACGGTTTACTTATGTACTCAATTTAAAGAAACTACATCTTTTGAAAACTTATAAGCTTAACTTAACTTAGGTGAAAGATCGTCTTATTAATAGTGCGTGTCAGAGTCACGAGTTCGCCAATCACTGGCCCGTTGGATATCAAACTTTTTATCTACTGTAAGAATATGGTACTCTCCTATCATAAAATAGTCGCCGAGATCGATGTTTCCCCATCTGAATGTTTTATATTTCCATTACAAAATTTATATATAAGTCTATATACGGACAATTTTAGAATTTGTACAAATCGTATTTTTTTGTATAATATAGAAACTATAATTTTGTCATCAGGAAAGATTCCTTGAGTTTCCAGCAATGGATAAATCAAACGGACAGAGAGAATAGAAAACACCATGCTGAAGACAAAATGGATAAATAATATCTGGAAAAGATATTTGAGTTACATAGTGATGAGAATAAATTCGTCTGTCAAAAAGACATCAACTTTAAAGGTTTATTTGATAAATAGTACATCTTGAATAGAGCTACAACCCGTTTAAGAAACGGTGATATAATATTAAATTTTGGTTGATATCTGTCATTCATTCAGTAATAATAATGCAACCGTTAATATGCAGGTTTTACAAATAGTGATCATTACCTTGACCTTCTCATCACAGCGTGACCTTGAGGCAACCTTTGAACTCCGCTTTTCTCCCAGGCATCCTGGCCCACACAAGGTGAATTTCCGACTTGGTGGGTACGCGGTGGAAGATGAAGCCTTCATGTTCGACAGCAAGGAGCCCGGTAACTACTCTTATTCTGCACACGATTCAGTGTAGGAATGGGACCCCTTTCCCCTAGATACAATCCATCTCGTCACGAGCTTTCATTCCCGAATCCCTTCGTCCGTTCAACAGGTTTTCTATACTCTTATACCACTGCTGGCTGCTACTCGTCGTTCCATAAGAAAATGTCTTCAAGTGTTTCGTTGTAGGATTTTAAGCGCACATCTATATCTCAAGGGATGGTCGGGTAATCTAGTGGTTCGCTAGTCACGCCGAAGACCCGGGTTCGATTCCCCACATGGGTACCGGTACAATGTGTGAAGCCCATTTCTGGTGTACCCCCGCCGTGATATTGCTGAAATAGTGCTAAAAGCAGCGTAAAATACAAGTCACTCACTCTAAATCTCCCACTGGCAACTTATCATAAGACCCGTGAAGATCCGGTGTAGAATAGGTCTTCAGCAACCAATGCTTGCCATAAAAGGCGACCATGCTTGTCGTTAAAGGCGACTGACGGGATCGGGTGGTCAGGCTCGCTGACTTGGTTGATGCATGTCATCAATCCAAATTGGGTGGATCGATGCTCATGATATTAATCACTGGACTGTCTGGTCCAGACTCAATTATTTACAGACCGCCGTCATATAGCTGGAATATTGCTGAGTGCGGCGTTAAACAACAAACAAACAAAACTTATCATAAAATACATTCTATACAAGAATCTAATTCTTAATCACTTACGTCCAACGACGTGTACTTTATCAATTGATAGTACACTTTAAATGAAGATTTGAAAGGGCAACGCTGGCGTTTTCGTGGGGGACGCCGTAGTAATTGTCCAAAATTATGCAATTGATCTTTTACCATACAGCAGGTAAGAGCTTGACATGGCATGTGAAAATGTAGTAAAAGTTGATAAAGAAATATGATGAGAAAGTAATAAATAACAGTAAATTGTATATCGTCCTTTCAGCAGAGGAGAACGCCATGGATCGATCTCTTCACTTTCTGACATGGAAGGGCGAGTCTGAGGTGCTTGTCAAGTCAGTCAAACGTCAGTGTGCAATTCTGAGTTATGTTTTACAGTTGTATCAAACACACGTCAGTTTGGCACCATATATGACCAAGCATCAAATATGCCACAGTTCAAAACAAACACAGGTTTCAGTTAGGACCATATGTGGCCAAACATGAAATATACCGCAGCTGAAGGAAATTTATGATGCCGTATGTCACCAAACGTCATATATACCACAGTTGGAACGAACACAAATTTCATTTGTCACAATATGTGACTAAACATCAAATATACAACAGTAGAATCAAGCACACATTTCAAGTTGGACAATATGTGACCAAACATAAAAAAATACCACAGTTGAAGTATGCACAATTCATATTAGGGCCATTTGTGACTAAACATTATCAGATATACTACAATTGTTACAAGCACAGATTTCATTTGGAACTACATGTGACCTAATATTACCACAGGCTGTTGTACTTAGCTACTTAGTGGACAAGAAGTTTCTGTGATATAGTTCAGCGGCGTGAAGTAAAACTGTGAACGCTAACATATACACCGATGTACGACACTATAGTATGAACACATAAAGCATGTTTCGCTGACTTCATAGCTTGGTATGCTTGTAATGTTCAATGTCGACATGACAGGTTTTCTTTTGTGTCTCATTAGTGCCCCACATCACCTTATCGGAGGACAAGTTGAACCGCGAGCAGTGTACCATCACCACATCCGGCAAGCTTGTCAAATCACCCTCAGAGAGGGGAGGTAAGTAAACTAGGCTATACACAGCATAGCAGAGTACCTGCTGTAAATAGCGGAACAAACCAATCACCATTGCATTGTTTAAGGCTCTCATTTTCCAATGTTGCAATGTGTGACAGGATTCTTCTCCTTAACACGTGTACGCATGTTCCATTATTCATCATGAAATTTTGTGTATCCGAGTATGTGTTTCATTACACTGGGGATCCCTGGTTAGATTGACACTCTCTCTCCCCCCCCCCCCCCCCCCCCCCCCCCCCCCCCCCCAGCAAGCAAGAAATAAATATGAGAGTGTCAGGCTCTGTGACTTTCTTGTCATCGTGGCTCATAATATCAATTACTGATTGTCTGGTCAAGATCCGAAGCCATCAGATAGCTGGAATATTGCTGAGTGCGGAGTAAGCAATAAACGAACACATGCATGCTCGTTTGACATAACTCTTCAGCTGAAATTATCTCGTGATATTTAGCTTAATAAAATCCATCAACGAAACTGTGACTTGCATGTTTCATCGTCTAATAAAACAACTCTCTGTTATTATGTCTAGGCTCGGCTGGCTTCAGCAACTATTGCGGAACTACCGGAAGTCGGTGTTTTTCTGGAAAGGGCGTCCATTATTGGAATGTCACATGTAATGTCCGAGTCCTGGCGAAGGTCTCGTCGTTTGGAAAGATGATACTTGAGGCCGCTGTAGCCCACGGCGACGTCTTGGACAACTCCTACTGCGTGTGGGAGACGCCTCGAGCATGGAGCCTTGTCGTCAGCATCTGCTCAACACACAAAGCCATTTGTGTCAAGGTTGTCTGTAACTCCAAGGTCCTGTTTGACACTCCCGTCATGCAGTGCGAGGAGGAAGCCACAATCGACCTTGACATGGGCGTCATGTTAAACCTGGATCAACGCAGTCTCACGTTCCTGGATGGAAGAACTGGTGACGTCATGTGGACCTTCGAGGATATCGACACCACTAAATCACTGTGGCCAGTATTTGGTGTCTACAACAGATACCACTTCAGCGTAGAACTCGGGGTCACTTCAGGTGATAAGCTCGAGCTGAACTCGGAGATGTCAAAGGCTGTAGAAGAACTTTTGTGAGCAGAACGCTATGGAAAATCTCTTGCTATGCACCTTCTTCGCGATTGTTTCAGGAGCGCGATTGGATTCGTTCAGACATGATGATCACCAAACATCTCCCCAAGATGTTCTTGTGCCTGTAAATCTGCTGTACAACAAAGGCAGTAATGCGGGATCCTCTACCTATACCACTCAAAAATGAGTTAAGGATCGCCCAATTCTTTCATATTATATTCTTCATCTGTCATGCCATGACATTAATTTGAGTAATATTAAAGAATCCGATAATCCTAAAATTATGTGAGCAGTATTGATAGTATTTTAGGAAACTAGTTTCTACAATAACACAACTTTTACGCACTCCCTGTAAGGAAACAGTGCACATAACCTTCACTTTGGTTCACAAATTCTGATTGTTTGAAGCATCAAGACATCATTGAATGTCTTCACATCATACTGTATTATATAAGTGTTCCAAACTGGCGCCTGTCATTGTGATATATTCTGTATGAGAACGAGGCTAACCCCAGACGCTGGCAAGAGGCTCTAGATTGGCAGTCCCAGGAAGTTTGATTTTAGTCACTAAAACAGCACTTTGTTTGTTTACTCGCTTTCCCTAAATGATGTACTCGCCACAGCGAATAGGACTTCTCCCATGAAGCGCTGCCCAGTCAAACCCGGCGAGAAATTTTGGGAGAATGTGAAGACTCACCAACACTGCAGCCTTCTGCATTATCCAAATTGTCAGAAGGGTTGTATTCCTGGTAACAAACCCGGGTACTCTCCCAATGACAGTCAACAGAGTGGGAGGTACCAAACCTAAGGCACCGAGAACAATAGGAAGTCAGACAAACGTGGCATTTCGAACGCGATGTCTGCATATTTGCCATGTGTTCCTGAATCTTGTCAATCACATTGGTGTCAAAAGACACAGATAATTCAATAATATAAATGATTTCATTGGATTATAACAAAAAGGACAAGATCAGGATTGTTGACATGGATACGTCTGAGGCTGTATACGGCCCTTTTCCAAAGAATTTGGTATTGATAATTTTCCATGACGCCCTCTACATATTCCTGGTCGTACCATGGATGGACCTCTGTGTCAAAACCACAAGCATGGCGAAGACGGTACAAAAACGATCGAGCCACACCATCATGTCGCTTAAGATACTGTGTTTGTGCCAAATCTGGGCATCCACTGACAATGTGTTGAAGAGTCTCATTAAATTCATTACATAATCTACATTTCATATTTACATTTTGATGCAAAATCACACATTGACGGTTTCGAGTTTGTAGTGACTGGTCCTGAGCAGCAAACAGAAAGCCTTCTGTTTCACTTTTAAGGTATACTATTATTATTATTATTATTATTATTATTATTATTACGTGAATCTGTCACAGTGGTGACCCTAATTACATTGCTGAAGGAGGCACTAGACAATCGACTACAGTATCATTTTAGTCAAGAGCGCCTAAGCACAATAACTAACTAACAATTAAATAACCAACAATATCGTTATTATCAATCAAGTAATCAATTAGTAACGGAAAAGGGAATTCAAATATATTCTCTCTTTTACCATTTGCACTACTGGCCTCAAACATGGCCCAAGGCCTGTAACACTATAAATAGTTTTCTCTTTATTTTTTTTCCGAGTTTTAAGTGAGTGTGTGAGTGAGTTTGATTTTACGCCGCTTTTAGCAATGTTCCAGCAATATTACGGCGAGGGACACCAGAAATGGGCTTCACACATTGTATCCATGTCGGGAATCGAACCCAGGTCTTCGAGCGCTTTCGACACGAAATTACTAAACCCTTGCCGTTCGTTTCGTTAAAAAGCATTCTCTTTGTTATACTGTAAATCTTGAAATTAATACAGGCATGCAATAAATGCCAAAGAAATGTAAGAGTTCCTTGCTTGCCGCATTTCTATCTGGGCATACTTGAACTTTTGCCACGTCAGCTTCATTGTACATACTGCCCATGACAAGCCAAGACTTGAGGCCAGTACAGGCGTATCTGTAAATTGTTGGGAATGTAATTTGTCTGAGTTATCATAAATCCTATACAATACTGTATTTCATACTTTATAAAACATGGTTCCTCTGTCTGTGGGAAATTACACTTTATCGTTGCGCGAACACGTAACTACTATTTTTGGTTCCTTATCTTCGGAATGCATCAAGGCTGCCCAGTATTGACGTTATAGCAACGTTGCTTGGCACACCAACCGAGCGTGCACCAAAGCAATAAAGTCCCGTTCTCCAAAGAAACTTTATGTCAACATGTGAAATGCATCTTTGCATTAAAGAAGTAATTTCTTGATATCAATTTCAAAGAATGTACATTGTTAAATATGTGTTGTTTGTTTTGAACAATATTTAAGTGTATACAATTACGTATTTTGACAATTAATAAAGTCTTTTCTCCAAAGAAGCTCCTTGTCAGTTTGTCTTGATATCCACTTTAAAGAAACTATAGACTTCTAGGCAAGACAATTATATTAAAAACAAATACATGTATGTCATATTCAAGAAGATAACTTCAAGACCCCCACTGTCATTGTTGCATTCCTATACGTCAGTTCATCGTATCCCGGCGGCGTGGGTCATAATATTAGTCACTGGATTGTCTTGTCCAGATTCAATTAATTACCGTCCGTCGACATATAGCTGGAACATTGCTCAGTGCGGCGTTAAACAACAACCAGACAAACGAAATGTTATTATTGAATAATTAAATTTTCGTTGTGTTCATGGAAATTCCTGCATTCTGATTAGCTGAATTGGTCACGTGTTATTGCATTCATTTCCCAATGAATGTAAAAAATTAAGCCACGCCCACCGCGGCGCACTACTTTTATTACTGCGGAATGTCGGGGAATCCCGATATTACAGTCGAGGGAATTCCCTTTCTGCTCACGTGTATCGTCATGCACATGACATTTAGCGACTTTCATGCATATTCATTGTCCAAACTACCCTTTGAAACCGAAGGCCGAGAATGAATGAAATAGCAAACGTGCAGGCTCGCTCGCCTGTTTTTTTCCCGCTCGCCTCGGTTCAACTTTCATGTCTTCGGGTTTCATTTCTAACTAGCATTTCTCCAACTGTGTTTTACCGTAATCAGGGAAGTAATGTTTGAATCAGCAGTAAATGACCATGTTATTTGAAACAGCCGCCTTCTCTCGGACATATTTCTTCCGGTTCGTTACAGTCTGACTGTTGCAGTTCTTTTCGCCTCTTGCCTTAATTGACAGGTCCAATGAACATTGATTAAATCCCACTCTCCGTTGGCTACTGACTGTGTAGGCGTGTCAAGTTATGTGCATAAATTAAACGATCATCTGGTTCATGTCACGCCACTGTATGTATTCCTACACCTGGAATGTTTATCAATGTCGTCATTTTTGTCTGTTTTGATATATGCAACTGTTTTGGGTTAAACTATTGTAGATAAAACATGTTTTACGTTGTCGTATTTAATTTAAGCATTGACTGTATATTTGTTTCGGTTCATTGAGGTATGAATCGAAAAACCGATGTGCAAACTTTTGTAAGAATCCGCTACGCGGATTCATACAGTTTGCTACGCGGATTCATACAGTTTGCACATCGGTTTTTCGATTCATACCTCAATGAACCGAAAAAAAACCACAGTCAATCTTTAAATAAATACTAAAACTATGTATTCGGTTCCAATTTGATTTAGCGCTGCTAAATCTACATGTGACCTAGTTCTTCATGGAAAACGCTTCTGCCATGACATACCTTTCACTTCTACCATGACAAAATCAAACGCGAACTCTTTGATGCTAGCAAGTATACACCTCGTCGAAAGTATTGTATCTTGGGGTCACTGAGGAGGATTAATTGGTCTTTATTGCACCACACTGATGGTAGGAATCGTGTCTAGAGTAACACTTTGATTGCTTTTGTTTCGCCTTCCAGCTTCTCCTTACCTCTCTCTTCTGATTATCAAAAGATCTTGGTGATGTGATACTTTTGACAAGATGAACAAATTGAATGAAACGACATGAGTCAAATATTTTGTGTGGGTTGTCGATCAGAACAACAGGAATCACCGACAACAGCTTTTAAACAAAATATATATAAAATATAAAACAATATATGCTGTATTACGACCTATTTGAACACGATCGGCTATTTCCGGTTATAGATAAGGTGAGGTTAGCCGAAAGTATTCTGGCGTCTCATAACTATTTATCGCCAAATATATAAAAAGAAACGATATAATAATTATTTAAAATTTTTCACTTGATGCCAACCGACAATGTAAAAAAGTTCGATTTTATCAATATTAGCTCTCGATAATTAAAGTGTGGGTGAGTATAGTTTTATGCCGCTATTGCAACAATATCAGGATAGTGGACACCGGGAATGGGTTTCGCACAATTACCCATGTGTTGAATCGAACTTGGGTGTGACGAGCGAACGCTTAAACCATTAGGCTACCCACCGCCCAAGGGATAAATAGTTGTAATTTACAACACTCAGCATCGTCAGAGAATACCACGGATCCTCCACACTCTTCCATCTTTGTTTCCTTAAGATGTATGCTTGTTTATAACTTATTACTTATTATATTACTGATATGTTAATGGAACAACGGTCCAATGCATGGCTACGTTGTTTGGGTATCATCGTGTTTGAATAAATTGCGACACGTGGCACCTTTTTTGCGAACACCTGGTGTCACCACATATTTTCACTACTATTTTCCCGCTTACGTTTAATTGAATCTGTTTCGGCAGATATTCGAGACTGCAGTGTGACATGCTGTAACAACCGAGATCAGATACTCCAGTGATGGAAGGCCAATACCTCCGTAATTCAGCGCTCTGCCTACACCTGGATAACCGAGGGCCCATTGACCCACCTATAAAGGCATGTTTCATGGATGGACATTTTGGAGATAACCTTTTCTGATATGGAATCTACGCTCGAAACCTCCAAATTTGAAAACACACTAGGTTTATCTCCAAATTGTCCATGCAAGATTCCGTGTATACACTGAAAACGTGAATTTATAGATGGGTCAATGGGACAATTCTAAAATGTAAAACAACTTCCTTAGACAGAGGATCAAGGTTTGTGTTCTGTACACTTTATGAAGCCAACATAGACAAAGGCGCAAACCTATCGAAACGCGTTGTGGAGGTCAGGCGGTCGTATGTATCGAGCCTTCATTTTATCTCAGCATGGGAAAAGGAACGAGTGACTCAGTGATCCAAGGCGCAGCAATTCGCCGTATAGAGTTTCGTCCCTTAGCCGTGCCAGTATCTGCTGTTTTAGTACCAGATGAGTTCTGATAATGAACATGTCTGTCAGGGCCGCGTCCGTGCTCTGTGGAGTCATGAAAATGGAAACCATCTTCGACCCTGCGTTACCATTGGTTTTCCTTCCACATTAAATAGACACAGATAACAAAAGACACCGTTCAAAGCGGCAAAGCTCACTCTCATAATGTATTGATCAAACATCTTGGATGGACGTTATTGACAACACGAACGCCACAACATTGATGACATGCAGTGGTATATTTATTCGAGATAATGAAAAGATATTAGACGTTGGTCAGAGTTAATCGAATTCCAGTGTCATTATAAAGGTGTCGCCTTTACAGCAGATCTGCCTTTACATCTTGTTGCTAACAAGAGTAGGGAGGTGTGGCAGATGGGTGGTGGAGCTGCTGGTGTCGTCGCGGTAGACGGTGGTGCGGCTGAGGATGGCCTTGACGATGAGGATGATACAAAGGAGGAGCACCAATAGGAGCCCGACGGACAGCGCCACCACAGTGGTGATCATCTTGGAGTCCATTGTACATTCCGCCGTCTCTTCTTTCTTCTGGACAGCTGAAAAGAGCGCCGCATGTATCAACGATAGACACCCAATTCTCATGTTAGAAGATTGTATTTTTTCCAAGAGGCGAATGCGCAAATCTGACAAACTTGCTATCTCGACAAGAAAAATTATGGTAAATGCGTTTTAGTAACTACGCACTTAAAGCATATAAGCCGTGCCAAGAGTTTAGATAACGAATGGCGAGAAAGTCCCTTCCAGTTTCCATAGTCTAGCACAACAACCCACTCAGCTGTTGACGTAATGAATCTAAACGACGTGCACCATTCATCAAATGTTCATGTTCTGTTATTTTAAAAGAAATACACAAACAACACGCAGCGTCTTATACTGCCAAACCAAAATACACTGACAGGCCGATTATCTTTCGGGACTTTCATATAAACTACCGGGAAAAAGAAAGTATGCACTTGGAAATTGTATTTGACCCCTAAGTTAACAAAACCGTTCCATTTTGAAAATAAGTGTCAAAACACTGCAAAATTAAAGCCCCTAACAGAACTATGAAACCGAACCAAATGCAGCATCATCGAATAACCTTTTTTTTTTTTTTTTCTCATTTCAGTTTAGTTGGCAGTTTACATAGGAACATTACTCCATGCAATTTTGTATGTGTGTGTGTGTGTGTGAGAGAGAGAGAGAGAGAGAGAGAGAGAGAGAGAGAGAGAGAGAGAGAGAGAGAGAGAAGGGATGGGGGTAGGGGTAGGGGTGTGGGTGGTGGTTATACTGCGTGTACGCTCGTACCCGTGGTGTCTGACGTTTGACGCTCTCCGATAGTGTACATCCCCCGGAGCACCTTGTCTTCACTCCCCTCAGCCTGTCGCTTTCGTCGTCCATATCCCGTGTTCTCTCCAGCTGTGCAGTTTACCTGCAACGCATTCATTAACGTTATTCATAGGTACTCACAGATAACTGAGTTCACGAATCCGCACATCTAACATTTCTTATATGAGGAAAAAATGATTAAAGCATGGAAAAAGAGTCAAAATAGAAAGGGTAGATCTCTTTTTCTTGAATTTTATTAAAAACTTCTTTTCTCTCATTTCGTTAATTCAAAGAACTCCGACCTTTTTTCGTATCACTTATTAATTATACATATTAACTGGATGGGAAAATAGAGCAGAGAATTTGAAACCCGAATTTAAAAAATATTCCGTTTAACCCTAAGCACTGATATCAATTCAAAGTACATTCATGGAGGTGTGTTTAGCGGTTCTTGGACAAAAAAAATAGTTGGAGTGAGTGTGGTCTTACGCCGCTTGTCGCAATATCCCAACAATATCACGACGGAGGAAACCAGAAATAGCTTTCGCATCGTACCCATATAGAGAATCACCTCGGCCATCAGGCATTATGAGCCAAAATGTTAGCCACGAGGCTATCCCACTACCCCTACACTGTATTCTGTAGTCACGTGACACAGGGAACGCACCGGGGCACACGCCGACGCTCTCTGGCAGGTTCTGACGGCACACGTGACGTCGACAGAAGAACCATAGATGAATTTGAAGGCCGAGAAGCCGAAAGTGACCTCCGGTCCTCCGGTAACCGTGCCGTTCAGGTCGTTGACCATCAGCAGACCAAGGTCGGTTGACTTGCAGCTGTGGACGAGCCATGACATATTTAGTCGTCAAGGCGCTACATGTATTAGTGAAAGAGTTGAAGTTAAGCTTTATAAACATGCATCAAATTATCGTACCAACAAAGATCCCGACTGCCGAAGCAATTGCCGTATGTTAAGGTTTGTATCTATCTATTTATTTCGTATTTATCTTGACTGGTGTCATCTAATTCCGGTTACAATATTGTTCGTCTTACCACCATCTATAACTGTTCAACCAAGACACTTTTTTCAGTTGTCCGGACAATTCAATATCCGGACGATTTTGACTGAAAATGACGCTGGCAGGATTACCTGGGATCCACGGTATACATATTTAAAACAGATGATCTTGTATGACACTTACCTGCCTTCTATGAATTTAGCATCCTTATAGTTTACGTTATTGGCCGCCAGGGTATTGGTGGCCACACACCTCTCTACTCTGATGCTGTCAAAGCCTGGGACGAAAGCAAACTTGTTACTATAACTTTGCATCATTATACAGCACGCCGATAAACCATTGACAAGGAATCGGAACAACCACGGCATCGAGGCCAGGTCGCCGCTCCAAGCAATGCTATATTATTACACTAATGTCGCATACAGGGTCACCCGTGTGCTTTAGGGCGGGAAACCACAGAGCATTTTCGTCAACTAGCATCCATTAGCTGAATGACTGCTGGATGTGGTTAAAATATACATTATAGCTATATTAGTATACCACTAGGAGACTGTAGCATACGCAGCATACGCAGTCAAAAATAGCCGCCGCCATATAGCTTGACTTTTGCTGAATGCGGCGTAAAATCAACAAAGTAGACTGTGCCATAAAATGGTATTCACTGATTCCCAGTGATTTACTTACGTTTAAGTCCGTCTGCCGAGAGTGAGATGTTGATGAGTACGAGGTCCCCGAGCTGAAGGGGGGAGGTGACGGCAGAACCATTCACGTACAGAGCCATGTCCACATCCGAGTCCAGGGGGGTGTTCCCCAGAGTACGACTATCAAGGTCACTACGGGGAGACAACCCAAGTTGAAATGTAACAAGCTCCTTATCTTTTGAACAAACCCAATTACTCATTCAATTAGTATTAGTGTACAGTACATACATCCTGTGCACTCAAAAGGACCCACGTGGTCGATCACCAGTTGGTGGAAACAGGAAGACGAATATACACCGGAAAGACAAGTGTTAAAACGTGTGGTGTCACCCCGGGCAATTATGCCTCTGTTCACCCAGCAGGGAATAGGTACTCGATATGTCAGGTGGATGTATAAACCCTCTAAGGCCCGAAGGCAACTTGGGTTGTATACTCCCAAGGGAGTTGAGAATGATGATTGGAAGGTAAACAGATCCCCTTGTCAGTGAACACATAAAACCGCATTTGAGCTGAAACTAGTACCTGCTGAATACATGATATGATATGATATGATATGATATGATATGATATGATATTATAATGTATGAAGATATGAAAACTGTTATGGATAACATGACGTTTCATGGCTACTTTTTACCCCTTCATTTGGTGAATTCTCTTGATGAAGGGACAAGACGAAGCCCAGAAACGTCACAAAGAAAGGTGACTGCACCTGTTGTTATCCGTAAGAGTTTCATGTCTTCATGTTTCAAGACTTGATATATCATATACAAGGTAACAATTGGAATTGTCCTAATATTTTCAATGTATGCTAATATCAATCAAGAATCACCCCAGTAGGGAAAACACGTTAGGTCATGAGACGTGGGACAGATCTGCCTAAGGCCCCGTAATAACAATAATTTTTTATATATTATTATTATTATTATTATTATAATTTTATTATATTTTTAGGGGCGGTTGGGTAGTCTAGTGGTTAAAGCGTTCGCTCGTCACGCCGAAGACCCGGGTTCGATTCCCGACATGGGTACAATGTGTGAAGCCCATTTCTGGTGTCCCCCGCCGTGATATTGCTGGAATATTGCTAAAAGCGGCGTAAAACCATACTCACTCACTCAATATATGTTTACCCCCAAGTGAAGGTATATAATGGTTGCAAGAAAAAGGTCTTTCTTCAACAAAGCCTCGACTGTTATTTTATGCAATTACTACTTTTGTGAGGCAACTTAAATATTTGCCGCCGTCATATGGCCGGAGTAGTGCAGGGTGCAGCGCTGGGCAACAAAAACTTACTTTATTATCAAATCGTGTGAGTGGCTGTTGCTACCAGTACAGCAGGACGTGAGTACCCACTTCGTTAACACCTGGTGTCATCACTGAATTTCAGTGGTCCAGTCATATAATGTTCATCACTATTTTGCCTTTAACGCCCTATGGAATCTGTTTGGGCAGCATATCGAGAAAGATCGTTCTCTTGGGTATTGAATTTACAGATGAAGGTTAATCTGTTCAGTAAATGATTATGTACTTATAAATTAAGGGGCATGCTACCTGTCTATGACCGTAACATTGACGGCACCGATGGTTTTGTTGATGGTGTCACCAGCCCCACAGACGGCGCAAATCCTCTGGTCACGTGACGTGAATGTATTTGGGTTGAAGAGAACATAGAAACATCTAGTCGAGGTTCCTGTCTGTAGAAGAGAGTGTGCGAGTAAGTGCCTGAGGGAAGTTTTTTCCACATGTTAGGAAATCAACGTGTCATCTGAGGCCCATATGACCAGCGTTTGAAATGAATGTATCACGTGGCTGCCTTATTAACATTTAATACGCAGGTAATGAAATAAAATACCATTCATGTCACTATATACATATATGATGAGGTTTTGTAAATACGGCCTCGTTTTAATGTATTTTCTAAGGTGTGAACTAATCGTATATACTGTTCCTAGGTGACACAGAGTTAAATACCCTTGAAATTGTGTATGACAAGATTAAGATTTAGTACATTGTATATGTAACATGTATAGGCTTCATTTTCTCATAAATATGTTTATATGTCTAATGACTATACTGTTGCGTTACGAACAAAAATGCCTATTTTAAGGAAATAATTCATATAAGTATGTTTGCATAACATACGAATAATCCTCGCTCCGACATCCGCCAACCTCAAAATGAGTAAGTAAGTAAGTACTATAACAACAATCTCGGAAGCACGGTGGACTGGTTCTGGCTGACTGTACTCACAGCGCTGTCAAACGTTGCGTTGCCGCAGTCGGCGTTTATGTCTGTGATGTTGATCCGCTGGACTCCCCCGTTATCGGTAAAGGTACAAGCTGCCTTTCCTTGGTTTCCCTCCACAAATATGGTCCCCAAGAAGCTGGGTACAAACGGCGTGATCTCAAGGGACATTGAATCTGGGCTGCAAGTCACTTCATCTGAGGAAGAAATACAAACCGTGATGCATCAACGTTCTATGTTGTTAAGCTGTAACCATCTGGTGAGATAGAGGAGCTTCTCAGCATACAGCAGCACTGACATGTGATCTCCTTATTTGAAGAGGTCTTTAGCAACCCATGCTTGCCGTAAAAGGCGACTATGCTTGCCGTAAAAGGCGACTGACGGCATCAGGTGGTCAGGCTCGCTGACTTGGTTGATGCATGTCATCGATCTCAATTGCGCGGATCGATGTTCATGATGTAAATCACTGGAGTATCTGGTCCAGACTTGATTATTTACAGACCGCCGTCATATAACTGGAATATTGATGAGTGCAGCGGTGAAAAACAAACAAACAGTGCAATAAGTGGTGACGAGCTCCTAATTATTCTGCTAAATTGACATATGTAAGATGTGGGAACTCCCCTATATATCAGGAAAATTAATAAATGGTGACGAACTTCTTATGTTTCGATTACCTTGACAAATGGTGAGAAATAGAATGGCCACTATTGTCCAGTAATCTGATATATGGTAAGGAACTCCTTATTATTCACTTAAATGTGACACATGGTGAGATATGGCATCTCCTTATTAATACAGTAAAGTGATAAATGGTTATATAGCATCTCCTTATTATACAGTAAAGTGATAAATGGTGAGATATATCATCTCCTTATTATACCGTAAATTGACAAATGGTGACATATAGCATCTTATTATACAGTAAAGTGACAAATGGTGATATATGGCATCTCCTTATTATACAGTAAAGTGATAAATAGTTATATAGCATCTCCTTATTATACAGTAAAGTGATAAATGGTGAGATATATCATCTCCTTATTATACCGTAAATTGACAAATGGTGAAATATAACATCTCCTTATTATACAGTAAATTGATAGATGGTGAGGAGCTCCATATTATTCGGGGCGGTAGGGTAGCCTAGTGGTTAAAGCGTTTGCTCGTCACGCCGAAGACCCGGGTTCGATTCCCGACATGAGTACAAAGTATGAAGCCCATTTCTGGTGTCCCCCGTCGTGATATTGCTGGAATATAGCTTAAAGCGGCGTAAAACCATACTCACTCACTCCATATTATTCAGTTACACTGGCAAGTGGTGAGAAGTGGGGCCTCCCCTATTATACAGTATAATTTGATAAATGGTGAGTGACCTTCTTATCATTCTGTTGCACTGGAAAGTGGTGAGAAATGGGACCTTCCCTATTATACAGTATAATTTGATAAATGGTGAGAGACCTTCTTATCATTCTGTTGCACTGGCAAGTGGGGAGAAGTGGGACCTCCCCTATTATACAGTATAATTTGATAAATGGTGAGTGACCTTCTTATCTTTCTGTTGCACTGGCAAGTGGTGAGAAATGGGACCTTCCCTATTATACAGTATAATTTGATAAATGGTGAGTGACCTTCTTATCTTTCTGTTGCACTGGCAAGTGGTGAGAAATGGGACTTCCCATATTATACAGTATAATTTGATAAATGGTGAGAGACCTTCTTATCATTCTGTTGCACTGGCAAGTGGTGAGAAATGGGACCTCCCATATTATACAGTATAATTTGATAAATGGTGAGAGACCTTCTTATCTTTCTGTTGCACTGGCAAGTGGTGAGAAATGGGACCTCCCCTATTATACAGTATAATTTGATAAATGGTGAGTGACCTTCTTATCTTTCTGTTGCACTGGCAAGTGGTGAGAAATGGGACCTCCCATATTATACAGTATAATTTGATAAATGGTGAGTGACCTTCTTATCTTGAGATTTGAGATATCGGAGCTCCCTGTTGTACAACAAAACTGACAAATGATGAGAAATGTTGTAGATTAATATAGACTTTGGATAAAACGGAAATTCTCATCAGAATACGGTCGGGGTTTACTGAACCGGATAAAGCCGTGGGACCCTTGAAGATCCAGGTTAGAATAGGTTTTCAGCAACCCATGCTTGCCGTAATAACGGGATCGGATGGTGAGACTCGCTGACTTTGCTGATGCATGTCCTCGATCCAAATTGCGTGGATCGATGCTCATAATGTCAATCACTGGATTGTCTGGTTCAGACTCGATTATTTACAGACCGCCGTCATATAGCTGGAATATTGCCACGTTAAACAACACACAAACAAAAACTACAGCCCTGGCCAATGTTACAGGTTTGTGCTGGGATCGTACATACAGCGGAGAGTGTTACAGTCAGTCCCGATGTACTCCTCTGGACAAAGGCACGTGTATGATGTTCCATTGCTGTGACATGTGCCCCCGTTCTGACAGGTAGAAGTCGAATTACAGTTCCCCTTGTCTACCTCAGCTGTAAAAGTAAATGCGATAGAAATAATGTACACGTGTGATCTCCGCGTGTGTATAGGACAAATATTGATCTTTAGCTTTGTTTGACGGTGAAAAACGCTAATTCGTTGTAAAGCATTTGTTTATCGAGTAGTAATCTCTAGTACAGTAGTTGGGACTTTTGAAATTCATGTAGTTATTTTTAGTCGTTAGTACGCTATTATCGATGTTTATTAAATAATATTCTACTGTAGCTATATACTAAGAAGTTAACTTTGGTAACGGATTCCATATGATTAGTACAAACCTATGTTGACAGTTGCGCCCCTTTAGCGAACCAGGATTCTGATCTTTGGCTGGAATCCCAGATTCGCATTGATGATGATACTCAGTTAGTCAGTACCACACCCTTGCCCGTGGGATTTGACAAACGGGGAAACGTATAAGGCCTCATGATTGTTTTGGGATCTCTCACACAACTTACCCATGGCGGGGCCTCAGTCATGTATTGTGAAGGTGGCCGGGTCTATTCTGACAGGGGCGGTCGGGTAGCCTAGTGGTTAAAGTGTTCGCTCGTCACGCGGAAGACCCGGGTTCGATTCCCGACATGGGTACAATGTGTTAAGCCCATTTCTGGTGTCCCCCGCACTGATATTGCTGGAATATTGCTAAAAGCGGCGTAAAACCATACTCACTCACTCACTCACTATTCTGACAGGTAGGGTGTGACACAACTTACCTGTGACGGCGCTACAAGTCATGTATTGTGAAGGTGGCCGGGTCTATTCAGACAGGAAGAGTGTGACACAACTTACCCATGACGGCGCTACAAGTAATATATTGTGAAGGTGGCCGGGTCTATTCAGACAGGAAGAGTGTGACACAACTTACCCATGACGGCGCTACAAGTCATGTATTGTGAAGGTGGCCGGGTCTCGTCAGACAGGTAGGGTGTGACACAACTTAGCCGTGACGGCGCTACAAGTCATGTATTGTGAAAGGTGGCCGGGTCTCGTCAGACAGGTAGAGTGTGACACAACTTACCCATGACGGCGCTACAAGTCATGTATTGTGAAAGGTGGCCGGGTCTCGTCAGACAGGTAGAGTGTGACACAACTTACCCATGACGGCGCTACAAGTCATGTATTGTGAAGGTGGCCGGGTCTATCGGACAGGTAGGATGTGACGCACACTTACCTGTGACGGCGCTACAGTCATTTACTGTGGAGGTGGCCGGGTCTTTTCAGACAGGTAGGGTGTGACACAACTTACCCATGACGGCGCTACAGTCATATGCTGTGAAGGTGGCCGGGTCCATTCAGACAGGTAGGGTGTGACACAACTTACCTGTGACGGCGCTAGAGTCATATATTGTGAAGGTGGCCGGGTCCATTCAGACAGGTAGGGTGTGACACAACTTACCCATGACGGCGCTACAGTGATATGCTGTGAAGGTGGCCGGGTCCATTCAGACAGGAAGTGTGTGACGCAACTTACCCATGACGGCGCTACAGTCGTACCCGGTGAAGGTGGCGGCGCACGCACACACTCCAGTATCAAGGTCGCAACTACCACCGTTTTGACAGAGACCGTCACTCCGACCACAGTGGAAGTCCCCATTCACTGGGAATACAAAGGAGTAGATAAGAAACAAGTTAACGCCCTGGAATTATCTTCAGTCTGTTCTGTACATGGCATATAGATCCATATCTCTAACTGCTGGTATGGGAGCCTGTCTGTTGCAAATAAATCTAAAATACATAAAATTTTAAATACAGCATGCCAAACCTTAGGTACCCAATTTCAACACATCAGCGAAATTTATGAGCAGCAAATTGTCAAAAAGGCGCGTAGGATACTAAATGACAGCAGTCATATACTTCATTCCGAATATCAGTTTCCACCTTCTGGCCGCCGACAGCGCATGCTGATGCTGAAAACGAACTGGGCCCGGAAACCATTCATACCAGTCAGTATAAGTCTTCTAAATGTTTAATCTGTTTGATACTTTTTAACAGTTCGCTGTACACAAATCTTAGCATGTCATTATCCCTTTTATTAAAGTTTACTCTTGTTGTGATATAAATACATATACTTTTGAAATACCATTCCTTGTCGTCACTGTCAATTTTCTAATGTTCAATTTTCTACACGTTTGTACTCGTGGTTATAGTAGTAAGTGTCCTATATTCTTATGTACATATTTTAATATCACATATTTTAGTGCTACTCAACTGTGCAAAATGAATTTTCCTTGGTATGATTAAGTTTTATCTTATTTTATCTTATCTTATCTCTTATAGGTTGTGATTACGAGTCAGTTATGTCGGCAGTTTTTCGGCTTTAGTATGCCAGGGTAGGATTACATAAACTATTAAGACAAGAAACTATACACTTGTAAATTGGATGTGTCAAAACAATTACAAACGTTATCAAAACGTCAAAACAGTCGCCGAAACACTGCAAACTTAACGTCCAAAATACAACTATGATACCCTTACTAAATACAGTACCTTCGAATAACCCGTTCTTGTTTGTTTCAGTTTGAGCCACCATCAAACATGGGTGTATACCCTTTGCCCGGCAGTAATGATATTAATATAATAACTAAACAACACTTACCCCCGAATAGCAGCCATTAAACATATAGTAGTGTTCGTATTAAACATAAACATGCCTTGAACCGCACTGTGTGTATAACAGATGCTGAAGACCTATTCTATACGTGGCAAGGACAATCACAGAGCTAGAGACCCGTGAAGGTCCGGGGTAGAGTAGGTCTTCAGCAACCAATGCTTGTCGTAAGTGGCGACTAACGGGATCGGGTGGTCAGGCTCGCTGACTTGTTTGATGCATGTCATCGTATCCCAATTGCGTAGATCGATGTTCGTGATTTCAATCACTGGATTGTCTGATCCAGATTCGATTATTTACAGACCGTCGTCATACAGCTGGAACATTGCCGTGTGCGGCGTTAAACAACAAGCAAACTAACAAACAAACAAACAAACACAGAGCTGGAAGCGAGGCCACTGAGGCGTAAAACGTCCTTACGTCAGATGATGACATATAACACGGACATGCAATTCTGACAATTGTGATATCACTTTGACCAATATTTTTTTTCCGTTGGACAGTTTATGTATCTTTATGTATCTTTATGTATCTTTATGTACCACACATCAGCAAGATTTACAATACAGTCACCGACAGAGAAGTCACCTACCAGATGCTACCAGGAGCGCCGCCACGGCAAGGAGAGGAATGCTCAACTTCATGCTGGTGTGCAGATGTCTCGACCAGAAGAAAAGGCTGGCATGGAAAACATTACATCAGGTGTGAGATCGGTGTGACTGGAAGGTTGGTTGGTTGGTTTGTTGTTGAACGCCGCACTCAGCAATATTCCAGCTATATGACGGCGGTCTGTAAATAATCGAGCCGGGACCAGACAATCCAGTGATTAATATCATGAGCATCGTTCCACGCAATTAGGATCAATGACATGCATCAACCAAGTCAGCGAGCCTGACCACCCGATCCCATTAGTCGCCTTTTACGGCAAGCGTGGGTTGCTGAAGACGTGACTGGAAGGAGATGTGTATACCTCATTGCTATCTTACTCACAGTGAGTGAGTGAGTTTGGTTTTTCGCCGCTTTGAGCAATATTCCAGCAATATCACGTCGGGGAACAGCTATAATGGGCTTCACACATTGTACCCATGTGGAGAATCGAACCCGCGTCTTCGGCGTGACGAGCGAACGCTTTAACCATAAGGCTACCCGACCGCCCCCACCTGCATTCAGATAGATCCTATTATGTACAATATTATAGAAATAATTAGATGTCATTATCAGAAGCTATGTCATAATGTTACACAACAAAACCGCGACAGACTTTTATACTTGGCATGCAGAATAAGGTATGAATTGCCGCCCCCCCCCCCCCCCCTGGTATCAGATTCACGCCGATTGTAACTTTCTTTCAATCCATTCGTCTATGCCCTTCATCACTCAGTCTAGCTTTCTTCCATCATTAAAAGGGGGCACGGGTGGCCCAGTCGTCTAAGGCGCCGCGATTCGCTGTGCAGAGTTGCGTCCCTTGGGCACGCCAAATGATTGTGGGTTCGAATCCCGGTTCGCCCCGATTATGTTTCTAGGTTTGTCAGCACCATACCCGTGCTCGTGGGTTTCACCGAAGTGGTAAACGTCTGAGACCTGCATCACTTCGAGCTTTCCTCCCACATTAAGCTGACACGCCGCGATATAACTGGAATACTGTTAAAAGCGGCGTTAAACCCAACTCACTCACACTCATCATTAAAAACTAAGTTACACATAGTTGACATGTGGGATTATGGGAAAAGAAAAAATAGGACCCACAAGAAAGCAGCTTTTGTAGACGTGGCAAGAGGTGATTCTTAATTCATGAATATTATGGATAAAAGATAAAGTTCTTGCCGGCACAAAACATACACGTCTCGAATATGTACGTACTATACTTTTTTGGCGACAAACAATTACTCCCAAAGACATACTTGCTTACCGAGAGATTGCTTGCAACCCATCCATACACAATATCATAGAGAGTTAGTAAGTAGAGATTTGCGCCAGTTCAAACAATATTTCGGAAACATCACGGCGGGAGACACTTGAAATGGTAGTCATACATTTGCAGGAAATTGTAGGAATCGATAGAATAATAATAACAACAACAATAAAAATAAATTAAAAATAATAGTAATCATCATCATCAGCATCATCATCATTATCATCATCATCATCTACACCATGTGAATAACACATAGACAATTGTACTTACCGCTGCAGACGTTTGCCGTGAAGAAAGACGACTGGCTCCACCGCACGAGTGCCTTCTGGACTGGCGTCTTCTTATGTGCGTCGTCTTATGCGTGTCGGCAATACTAGATATATTAATAACTTTTTCGCTTTTATACCAGTTTAGTAAATATATCACGTGGTAGGAACATGCAGTTCGATTTGTCTTTTATTGCTGGTCAGAATAGGGGAATGATAACTCGAGTCACATGGGGACACAGCCCCGCCCCCTGCAGGTCCAGCGGACCATGACTATAGCGGTACACTCATAGACTTGCACAACATTCGCACACCAGTGGGAGAGTTACTCTTTTAACCGAACCAAGAAAGATCGATGATTTAATTTCAATATAAGCAAAAGACAGAACATACCTCTTGTTGTATATGGCTTGACGTCACTTTGTTTGATCCGCCCGGCAATGTAATATTGCTCTTCAATATTTGTGTCGACAGGGAGTTCCTTTCCTTGTGGGTAGAATGTGTCATGTGGTTCGAATATTCATAAACATGATTGTTTGATTGATTGTTCAACGACGCAGTCAACAATACTCAAACTAAATAAATGTAAGTAATCAAGTCTGGAACAGACAATCAAGTGACTGGCATCATGAGCATCGATCTACGCAATTAGGATACGGTGACATGCAATCATTCAAGTCACCCAGCCTGACCACCCGATCCATTTAATCGCCAGGCACATGTTGTTGGGGACCTATGTTCTCACCCCGAATCCCACAGAGTCTAATATTGGTTAAGATCAATTCCACCAAGGCCTAATTGAAAAATGAAGGTATTTTGAGGTTCACCGATGGCTAGGCATAAATCCCGATTCGTGTCAACATCATCTCGACATAATCGTCAACTCAGAAATACATCTTCACATTAGATGAACTGCCGTTATTGCTCCGATATGACCATTATAAATTTTATTAATTATGCCACTGTGCAACCGACCCGTGAAGATTCCGGGGTAGAATAGGTCTTCAGCAACCCATGCTTGCCGTAAAAGACGACTATGTTTGTCGTAAAAGGCGACTAACGGGATCGGGTGGTCAGGCTCGCTGACTTGGTTGATGAATGTCATCGATCCCAATTGCGTGGATCGATGCTCATGATATTAATCACTAGATTGTCTGGTCCCGACTCGATTATTTACAGACCGCCGTCATATAGCTGAAATATTGCTGAGTGCGGCGTAAAACAACCAACCAACCACTGTGCAACCGGATCTATGTCCAGTGTTGCATTCACGCATGCATATAAAATAAGTCACAATAGGCTGCTATTTCTTAAAAAGAATTCCGAATGATCCAGATGCTTTTAGTCCGTCTAACTCCCATACCTAGCTTTTAGACTGTTGGTTGGCATAGTGCTAATTGCCCTGTTAACCTGACGCCGCTTTGAACAGTCTCTCTGTAAGAACACGTACAGCGTGTCGTGCCAGCTGCATCGGAAGTGGTGCAGGTTGTGGAGTGAATGAGTGAGTGAGTGAGTTTGATTTTACGCCGCTTTTAGCAATATTCCAGCAATATCACGGCTGGGGACACCAGAAATGGGCTTCACACATTGTACCCATGTCGGGAATCGAACCCGGGTCTTCGGCGTGACGAGCAAACGTTTTAACCTCTAGGCTACCCGACCGCCCCGCAGGTTGTGGAAAGTTGATGCCACTTTGGTAAACAGACCACGAGTATGGGTATGGTGGTAACAAACCAAGAACATAATCAGGGCGATTCTGGGATTCCGACACGTAACGTCACGTCAAATACCACGTCACGGAATGATGAAGGCGACCGGTATTCCTAGTACAACACATACAGTGAGTGTCAAGCATGAGGATACATACCGCCAACCCTCGATATGGCCAGTCTGGCGCCCCGCGCTACATAGAACAGCATATAATAATAATGTTTGGTCTACTTCATGGTGAACTACATGATAAGGTTAATGAATGAGGGAACGAATTTCGTTTGACCGCTCAACCACTTGACCACCGAGGCGGTTTGGGATAGAGAGAGGCTATATAGTGTATATAATACGGAATATGGCTGTGTGTGAGAGAGAAGTGTTACGTTTAGTGTGATATCGTACAGGGTGTAGTTGGGGGATAGAAATAAGCTATGAAGAGTGATATAAACTGCCGGGCAAAAGAAAGTATACACTTGAAAGTGAGGATTGAACAAGATATTATAAACGTTTTCGAAACGTTAATAGGCTTAAAACAGTCGCCGAATCACTGCAAACTGAAGGTTCAGAACGCAGCTATAGAACCCGTATCAAATACATCAAAATCAAATTAATTTCTTGTTAATTTCAGTTTTAGCCACCGTCACACATGGGCTTATACTTTCTTTTGCCCAGCAGTAAATGGTAACGCTATTTTCCAGGGCACTATTATTTGCAGAAGCCAGATGTCCAGAGGATTCGTCCACAATATACAAGTATGATTGTGTTAAGATAAAATACATCTTTACATAACGACGTTGCATGGCTATTCGGATCTGAAAAACCAAGTGTCCAACAACGAGAGCATCGTTGACCAGTGTCAGGGTAGGATGCCACCAGCCAAACCTCTGCAGCACGTGGCCTCATCTCGGTGGGAGAATAAGTCCCAAGACTAAAGACGATCGGGTGGGTGAAAGGTGTCACTTGGATGATCCTGTGTCATCATACCAAGCGATGGTAATAGTTGCTCATGTCCCGGCGATGGTAATATCTGCTCATGTCCCGGCGATGGAGATAGCTGCTCATGTCCCGGCGATGGTAATAGTTGCTCATGTCCCGGCGATGGTAATAGTTGCTCATGTCCCGGCGATGGTAATAGTTGCTCATGTCCAGGCGATGGTAATAGCTGCTCATGTCCCGGCGATGGTGATAGTTGCTCATGTCCCGTCGATGGTAATAGCTGCTGATGTCCCGGCGATGGTGATAGTTGCTCATGTCCCGGCGATGGTAATAGCTGCTGATGTCCCGGCGATGGTGATAGTTGCTCATGTCCCGGCGATGGTAATAGTTGCTCATGTCCCAACGATGGTGATAGTTGCTCATGTCCCAACGATGGTAATAGCTGCTCATGTCCCGGCGATGGTGATAGTTGCTCATGTCCCGGCGATGGTAATAGTTGCTCATGTCCCGGCGATGGTGATAGTTGCTCATGTCCCGGCGATGGTAATAGCTGCTCATGTCCCGGCGTTGGTAATAGCTGTTCATGTCCCGGCGATGGTGATAGTTGCTCATGTCCCGGCGATGGTGATAGTTGCTCATGTCCCGGCGATGGTGATAGTTGCTCATGTCCCGGCGATGGAGAGATAGTTGCTCATGTCCCGGCGATGGATATAGTTGCCGATGTCCCGGCGATGGAGATAGTTGCTCATGTCCCGGCGATGGAGATAACTGCTCATGTCCCGGCGGTTGTGACAGTTGATCATGTCCCGGCGATGGAGATAGCTGCTCATGTCCCGGCGATGATGATAGTTGCTCATGTCCCGGCGATGGTGATAGTTGCTCATGTCCCGGCGATGGTGACAGTTGCTCATGTCCCGGCGATGGTGATTGTTGCTCATGTCCCGGCGATGGTGATTGTTGCTCATGTCCCGGCGATGGTGATTGTTGCTCATGTCCCGGCGATGGAGAGATAGTTGCTCATTTCCCGGCGATGGAGAGATAGTTGCTCATGTCCCGGCGATGGTGATAGTTGCTCATGTCCCGGCGATGGTGATAGCTGCTCATGTCCCGGCGATGGTGACAGTTGCTCATGTCCCGGCGATGGTGATAGTTGCTGATGTCCCGGCGATGGTGATAGTTGCTCATGTCCCGGCGATGGATATAGTTGCTCATGTCCCGGCGATGGTGATAGTTGCTTATGTCCCGGCGATGGTAATAGTTGCCGATGTCCCGGTGATGGTGATAGTTGCTCATGTCCCGGCGATGGTAATAGTTGCTCATGTCCCGGCGATGGTGATAGTTGCTCATGTCCCGGCGATGGATATAGTTGCTCATGTCCCGGCGATGGTGATTGTTGCACATGTCCCGGCGATGGTAATAGCTGCTCATGTCCCGGCGATGGTGATAGTTGCTCATGTCCCGGCGATGGTAATAGCTGCTCATGTCCAGGCGATGGTGATAGTTGCTCATGTCCCGGCGATGGTAATAGCTGCTGATGTCCCGGCGATGGTGATAGTTGCTCATGTCCCGGCGATGGTAATAGCTGCTGATGTCCCGGCGATGGTGATAGTTGCTCATGTCCCGGCGATGGTAATAGTTGCTCATGTCCCGGCGATGGTGATTGTTGCTCATGTCCCGGCGATGGAGAGATAGTTGCTCATGTCCCGGCGATGGTGATTGTTGCTCCTGTCCCGCGATGGAGAGATAGTTGCTCATTTCCCGGCGATGGAGAGATAGTTGCTCATGTCCCGGCGATGGTGATAGTTGCTCATGTCCCGGCGATGGTGATAGCTGCTCATGTCCCGGCGATGGTGACAGTTACTCATGTCCCGGCGATGGTGATTGTTGCTCATGTCCCGGCGATGGTGATAGTTGCTCATGTCCCGGCGATGGTAATAGTTGCTCATGTCCCGGCGATGGTGATAGTTGCTCATGTCCCGGCGATGGTAATAGTTGCTCATGTCCCGGCGATAGTGATAGTTGCTCATGTCCCGGCGATGGATATAGTTGCTCATGTCCCGGCGATGGTGATTGTTGCACATGTCCCGGCGATGAATATAGCTGCTCATGTCCCGGCGATGGTGATAGTTGCTCATGTCCCGGCGATGGAGAGATAGTTGCTCATGTCCCGGCGATGGAGAGATAGTTGCTCATGTCCCGGCGATGGATATATTTGCTCATGTCCCGGCGATGGTGATTGTTGCACATGTCCCGGCGATGGTAATAGTTGCCGGTGTCCCGGCGATGGTGATAGTTGCTCATGTCCCGGCGATGGATATAGTTGCTCATGTCCCGGCGATGGTGATAGCTGCTCATGTCCCGGCGATGGTAATAGTTGCCGGTGTCACGGCGATGGTGATAGGTGTTCATGTCCCGGCGATGGATATAGTTGCTCATGTCCCGGCGATGGTGATTGTTGCACATGTCCCGGCGATGGATATAATTGCTCATGTCCCAGCGATGGTGATTGTTGCACATGTCCCGGCGATGGAGAGATAGTTGCTCATGTCCCGGCGATGGATATAGTTGCTCATGTCCCGGCGATGGTGATTGTTGCACATGTCCCGGCGATGGTAATAGTTGCCGGTGTCCCGGCGATGGAGATAGTTGCTCATGTCCCGGCGATGGATATAGTTGCTCATGTCCCGGCGATGGTGATAGCTGCTCATGTCCCGGCGATGGTGACAGTTGCTCATGTCCCGGCGATGGTGATAGTTGCTCATGTCCCGGCGATGGTGATAGTTGCTCATGTCCCGGCGATGGATATAGTTGCTCATGTCCCGGCGATGGTGATAGTTGCTTATGTCCCGGCGATGGTAATAGTTGCCGATGTCCCGGCGATGGTGATAGTTGCTCATGTCCAGGCGATGGTGATAGTTGCTCATGTCCCGGCGATGGTGATAGTTGCCGATGTCCCTGCGATGGATATAGTTGCTCATGTCCTGGCGATGGTGACAGTTGCTCATGTCCCGGCGATGGTGATAGTTGCTCATGTCCCGGCGATGGTAATAGTTGCTCATGTCCCGGCGATGGTAATAGTTGCTTATGTCCCGGCGATGGTAATAGTTGCTCATGCTATCAACAATCGGGCAAACCAAATTCAACGATTTACAGGCATCCTTTAGCACGTCTACAATGGTTTATTATGTCTTGATTTCTCCAGTTTTCTGAAATGAAGAGTTATTTAACAAAATCTATCTTAAACTATATTAACGAAAATGAATAAGGAAACGCTTAGTTTTAGACACAGTAAAAGTATATGCTATCATGGGTTACCAAACTTGTTTACCAAATACATGTTGAAAAAGTCCACACAAACACATCTCAACATTTGAATCTGACATGTGTTGAATTTGTATGCGCACTATTCCAAATGTGCTGACATAAAATCTTATTTTCCTATATTTTTCATTGTTTCCTCGTTTCCATCAGTATGTTTTCATTTCTGGGACTAAACTAAAAGTTGGTCAGCAGACACTCAGACATATGAGTGTGTGTGTATGTGTGTGTATGTGTGTGTGTTTGTTGTCTGGACCAGACAATCCAGTGATTGACATCATGAGCATCGATCCAGGCAAATGGGATACTATGACATGCATCAACCAAGTCAGCGAGCCTGACCACCCGATTCCGTTAGTCGCCTCTTACGACAAGCATAGTCGCCTTTTACGGGAAACATGGGTTGCTGAAGACCTATTCTACCCCGGATCTTCACGGGTCCTTGACATATGAAATATTAGACTGCGGTTGATAAGTACATTCACTCACTGACTCCAACCCCGCCCTTCAACGATCTCTACCTTAGTCCGCACATGCAACACCCGAGGGGACTATACCCCACCACATACCCAGCTGGATGTACCCTTTGAACAACATTATATAAATAATTAATAGTCATGTCGATGTAAACTCGAGACGTAATATGATAGCATAGCCTCCATTACCTGCACGTTGATGCACCCGAGGGCCTGAGAATTGAGGTTATCACAGCTGGGTTGCGCCGTTGCCATGGCAACATTTGTGAGTGAAGTTATTGTAACCCAAACTAAGGGCAAACTAAATGTAAAATTAAAATCACGCATTGTAGAATTCTTTTCTGTGTGCAACAGAACGTAATTCACCGGAAGAGTACATTTACATTATAGCGAAAAGAATGCAAACGTTATTGTACACAAACACATCACATTACAACGTCGTGAATAATATACCGTGAGAATAATAGACACACCCGATTTGATTTTAATATTGATTAAATAGATGTAACATAATGTTATTATAACAGTGTAATTTCAAAGGCAAACACGGATTTATTTCACGCGGTGAGAGAGAGGTGAGGGTGTATTGAGGGTGTATTGTTACAAACACAGAGTAGACAGGCTGGGTTAAAACCCATTCCTTTAGGTGGGCTATTACGGGTGTATGACGGGTATGTTGCTCTGCTCTCACATGCTGGGGCTAAGACGTTTATCCATCAACATCAGGTATTAAAATGACATCATCCGCAAACTGTGGGAACCATATGTACTCTTGTATATTTAACATGTAGTATTTACCTGTTACTGTGAACATGTGGTGATTTCAGTGTTGATTCTAGGTCTCCAGTGTTGTGTAGAAAGAGTTGTAATAGGGGTGGATGAATGGATGACTGACTGACTGACTGACTGACTGACTGAATGAATGACGTGCTAGGGTGTCCTGCAGACAATTCCATTTAAACCGCCGACATATTGGTGGCAGCAACTTAAATGAATGGGTAGAAAGCATGAACTAATGAGCACTGATATGGAATAGACCGAATGAATGAATGAAATGGAACGAATGAATGAATTAATGAATGAAAAAATGAATGACTGAATGACGTGTTAGGTTGTCCTACACATAATTTAATTTAAACCGCCGACATATTGATGGCAACAACTTAAATGAATCACAACGTGAATCAACAAAGGTGCGAATCAATCAGCGTAAATCATTAACTTATTTAAGCATTCGAATTCGGCGGTAACGCAAATCACATTCACCATTTGTTCCTTTTATTTAAAAAATACTCAATACATAGAGGATATTTCATGTGTCGAGTGAAATATCATGTTTCTCTCATCTCTATCCATATATTCAAATATCTCCTTTTCCCCCCGTCACGAGATGAGAGAGATAGGATGGAATATCCTATTTATTATATACTTTTTGTGTAGTTGTCTACCAGAAAATAAAATATTTCATTACAAATGACAAACCATGAAACGAGAAATTTCAGTATTTTCATTTTCGTTGTTACCATTTTCGCCATATTCGGAACGTTAATGACCGTTTTTTCCGATTTCTGCAAAATAAGTTTCAGCCTACTATTATGCGGTCCGGGACGTGCCGTCTGTTGACGGAGGAGTATGTAACAAGGTGTGGAGTCATTCCACAGAAGACATCCATACCTTGTCAGCTTGCTGATGGGGTTAGCCCTTTGGTCGTGTGGACAAGGCGTCGGATAAAAACGTGCCTGGTTCGAATCCCATCTCTGGTATGGTGAAACCAAACCAATGATCGATATTAGGACAAAAGCTGGGCCTCGAACCCGTGATCAGTGGATGACAGTACATTAACATGATGGTAAAACTGTATTTATTGGTTGATTTGCTCTCAAACTTGATAATTCTTTATAGTTAGACTACTCGATGGCGTGCAACAGTCATGTTTGAACAAAAAATCCATTTTGAGATAAACAATTCCAGCTAATTTCTTTACCGCATGCTGTCAAAATATAGGAAGAGAAGCCATTGCCAAGGGGAGGTATCTTTTCATTAACCACTCAGTCTGCAGTGGTCACCCGCCTTCAGTGTCCCACATCCTGATAAACCAAACAGCTTCTACAAACTTGGTTTACATACCATGATTCAAGGTACGTCCACAGAAGTGTTCCTAGTCAGTGTTGGCATACATGTCAAACCAAAAATAATATGTACCTACAGAAAAGACATCCAGTATTAGTCCCATGTGAGTGAAATATGAGATCAGTATCGTTTCATGAGAGAAATATCTGAGACAGACAGTATTGTTCTCAAGGGAGAGAAATCTGGGACAGACAGTACCCTTTCCACGAAAGGGAGAGAAACAGTATTATTGTGACAAAAAGGAACATATGTATTTGGCAGTTTTATTGCAACAAGAAGTCAATCCGATACAGTGTCATTTCTGAAAATTACTGGACTGGTAGTATTGATCCAACTAGAGATCAACATTAATCTGGCACTTTTGTTTTTCCACAAAAAGTTGGATATTGTTGATTGCTTTTTCACTGGAGGAACCTTGGCTCCATCAATGAAACGTCCATTCAAACTCATGTAACGACAATAAAAGATATGCTGGAGAATTCTTTAGATGTATAAATGGTTAGCATTTCATTATCATTCGTGGCCTGAAGCTTTACCTAAAACACAGTCTTGTCTTGTACAGTCTGTGTGCATGTATATATATCATGTTGCTGTTTCGCCAATCTATTTGCATGTCTCGCTACTGCCTAACTTGGTGATCACAGACACGTTTAAAGGGAAATCCCATCTTCACAACCATTTTTCCCTCTTTCTGCTTCCGGGTTGATGTCACAGAGTCAACCACCACAATCTGCTTAACGTCTGCTGCTTGCTTCCGTGTAACCTCAACCATCTTCATCTGCCTGACCTTTGCATGGTTGTTTGTCGAGCTGAGCCTTACAGGAGATACTGTAGCACAACCAGCACCGTATGTCTCACCTTGACATTCGGTTTTAATTGGTAAATGAGTGTCTCTGTATCCTGAACAAATGAAACCATCATTCGGGAGATTGGCATCATGGACAGGAGACTGGGAGGTATTCAAGAAGCTTTTATCCTCATCACCTGTTGACGTGTTCAACACACTCTGATCATCACCGCTACTAGGAGGATTTACAGAAGTTGTCTTCTTCCCTCTCCGCCACCTGCTGAGTGGGTTACATTCTTTGCACCTACAGCTCAAGACCTCAATGTGGTCTCGGTGTTGTTTGTACTGGAGATTCGACATCGGACGTCTCTTGTAAGAGTCGCTGGTTCCGATCTGTTCTGTACTAAGTGATGTGGAGAGGCACCTACACTCCTCTCCGCCAATAAAGTGCTCCACCACCTTATCTATAGATGTCCGCTTTGGCAAACTATTTGCAAGCTGGAGCGATATTTTCCAGTCCTCCTCCAGCGGCCCAATGACCAGGCATAATGCATGAGCAGGAAGTGGATGTTTGGCGGAGTAGGGTTCCAGTAATGCAGACTCTGTGTACAGATAGGGTCTTTGGGGGTCATCCTTTACCATGCCAGTTGGCGTCACGAGGAAGAACCCAGAACACATTTGGCTAGTGAAGATCGTGGTGACAACATGGTCATCCGAGTATGAGAGGTAAGCGGGAAGGCTGGACGGTACACCGTGTTCACTTTTAAGGAAGGAGTCTTGATTCGTGAAGTAAATTGTAAAAATAGTTGTCCTCTGTGATGTTGTAAAGGTGTTTGTGACGTTAATCTGTGCCCCAGCTGCATAGAATAGCTGGTCCACACCCTGAAACCAATGTCTCTGTATGTTTGGTGTGTTCTTATATTCTGACTTCACGCTTCTTTGCAATCCAATCGACCCAAGAACTGTTGTTATTGGACACCCAGCCATTATTTGTGAATTACATGCGTTTGGCTTGGTATTTGACGTGTCATTTGAATAACACAGCTTTTCTTCTGGTGACCTCAAGTTCATGCCAGTTATTTTAATGTTTGGTTTACCTCCACTGCCTTTTGGTAGCTTTTCATCTCTGTGTGTTATTGGTCGGCAATGGTCAGATAAACAACATGACGTCTTTGTCTTTGGTCTTTTCTGCATTACATTGATACAGACTGATCCTGCTGATTGATGCGCTTTGGTTACTGAATTACCATCAGAGGTAGATGGTGCTTCAGTGCACTCCTGTTTAACAAGCCGTTTTTGTGATTTGACTTTACCAGAACATTTGTTTGGTATCATAAGAACCGTTTTCGATGCTTCAGTTTGCAGAATGACTTTAAAGGGCTGCTGCGTACTGTCTTTAGAT